GAAGCCGGTTCAACGTCTATCAATCCAATGATACATGGATGTTGTTCCTTATAATATTGAAGTACCATTGTATCTGCTGTGTTTTTTCCTAGTCTGCTACTGGTTGATAACTGCGCTTGTCGTCGTTTCGTGTCGCTCAAACTCGCGTCCACTTTGTCATACACTTTCACATGTTCGCGCCTCAGCTACCTTCCCTAAAATGCAAACCAGTCGTTGTCGTTCGGATCGCTTTGAGGTATTTTCTAGTCATTGCAACTATTGCTTATTTTCTAATATGCTTCACACGTACATTATGATTTTCGAACTTATAATCACGTGGTGAATGAGTATGCACATTAAAAAATGCAATAGAACTGTAGGCTATAGTCGCTAGATGAACCCACGATGTCGGGCTGTGGATTGCACTGCTAGAGTCTGACCTTTTATTTTGAATGAAGTGCTATACAATGATAGGCTGCTCGCTTGCATTCGATTATGTCTGATTATTGTTTGCCACGTGGGTCTTTGTTAGATTCACGGCGTGCACCTCAAATCTAGGTAATTAAACCTTTGTCAGCAATAAGCTAGTGTAACAGTAACAACGTATTGATGTTGAAATGTAACAATAAATGAGGAATGACTAAGGTATCGGTAATTCGCACGGAAAAACCATAACTTACAACTGTAGTTAATAATGCTTATCGTATTAGGGAGGTCAGCACTTCAATTCTGCTGTGTGAAGAAAGCAGGGATGAAATGGAGACTGTAAAATCTTTACTCAAGCAAAATGAAGGATGGCTAATGGCGCTATTTATATTCTTCATGTAATGGATGTGGTTTTAGTAGAAAAAACCAGGGTTAGTGCTCAATAATGGATTCTAGAATGTTCTCCATTTTTCCCAATTAGTATTGTATAATAGAGTTGTTTCAAATCGTGGGACGGCAGATGCGAAGAAGCACAGAGGTTAAAATGTTGTACGTGAAACTTCGGTTATGTGAAAGTTTATCGGGTAGCGATAGCATGGGTTATACAGAATGTCAATGTGAATGTGTTTGAGAAGTGGTAGAAAACACTCGTTATTTTGTGGAGAATTTGTCGTTTATAATATAGCTGGGTGGATAGAGATGAATTTTTGCGGTTGTCATTGGCTTACCATATAAGTATTTTACACAGAGTTGTGAAATAGTAACTGTTGCTGTATTGATCATAATATATGCCCAGCCATGAAAAAAATGGGCACTAAATAAAAGTTAAAACTTTGTGATTTCGAGTTCAGCTCTGGCTTAACGGAGTTCAATCCCGATATGTGCTCCCTAGATCATTCCCGTTGGCGAGTGATTGCTGATGGTATCGTTAGGGTGAAAAACTGGCTGAGAGCATGGCGAAGCATGGGCCTTGATTGGTGTGGTGGATAATGCGTGAACCACTGGAACAATAGTCAGAGGTTCGAAGCGTAGCTGAAGTCTTAAATTTTGCTCATATTTTGGCATCGCTGTCGTTGTGTTTCACATAATTGCGAAACAGTTGGTAATCCATCTAATAATTGACTCTATTGAATGCTGCAAAAATAATTCTCTGTTTTTTGTTCCACTTCTGTGAAGGTATAGCATAGTGAGTAGAAGTCCCATATAAAACGCATTTAGTCTTTACTTGGATCCCGTTTTCCACTCTATGCTAACCAATTCCCGCATCTCTGCGAGGTCGACGAATTGCTACCACATCCAGGAAGAATAAAAACACCGACTTGATGCATCAGTACACCCACGCAAGTCATTGTATAGGGTAGGCATCCATTTAATCGCCTCTACAGTGCTCAATGGAGTCCACTGCAATAACACATTTTTTCAAAATTGGAGCACCATAAAGTTTCTCCGTTAATCGTTATTTACTGTGTCCAGTAGGTGTTAGTGTGTGTCGAATTCCGATTTATTGTTTGATTCTATCTATCATTTAAACTGAAGCGCTCGTGAAATTACCATACGAATTCTCGGCTAGGATAAAAGCATTGTCAAAAATTGCTAACAGTTAAGAAATATATAAATTTCTGTCCGATCCATTAGAAGGATTCGTTCATTGACTGCAGTTACTTAGGAAGAAGCTGCTGACACGGCAACCTCGTAAATCCAACGGCGGGAGAAGATCTTGCAAACATCCAAGTATTACCAGTTTTCAAAGAGAATTTGTTCCGATTATCATTCGATGCCTCATGAATATCTAAATATCGGGTAGTGTTGTATACAACTGTAGTTTCATAGAATTTTTCGATAAATCGATCAACACCTTTCTTTAGGCAGAAAAGATCAAAGGCAAAAAACCGAAAAATCTCTTTATATATCTCACTTCACATTGTCTGATGCTTCCTTCATTTTTATTCCTATGTTTGCCCATGCTCCTGATAATTCTTGCATCGTAGAAAGCTCTCATCTCTGATGTTAACGAAATTTGCATCCCAAGCTATCATTTTCAGTTAGGTTGGAGTACACTTGATACTTGATACCTGAATGGCCCGTCCTCACTTGTAGTACGGGGACCAGCATAATCTCTATTTTTCAGATAATTACTGGTTAAGCCACTGTGGTTTCCTAGAATCCCAAGGTCAGTCTGGCCAAAGTCTGCTCCAAATCTTCACCACCACAGGCAGTCGCAGCCCTTCTGGATCAGAGAGAGATTTGCCACCATGTGACTTTGATAACAGGACGGTGGTGGATCCTAGTATTGGTTTACTCTTAGCTAGGCTTCCTGATGGAAACACCGGACTTTTTCTAAGCTTAGAAGACTCTGCCATGGCATGAATCCTCGCTGTACATCGCAAACCGACACCCAGGAACACTTCCCAGCCACGATGAGGAGGAAAACCGTCGATAGGAGTAGGAGTATAAAGAACACTATCCGTGAATATTAACTGTTTTTCATCTTAACATAAACCTGTTGTACTGAATGTGCATTTCTCTTTACGGTGCTTGCTCCTGTTATATAATATATTTTGAATTAGTTGGCACCGACCCAAGTGCTTACTGTTGATCTATACTCACCCATAACCAGCGGCGAAGATGGAATTGACTGATGGCTCGACCTTGCCACTATCTCCGCCCACGATGCATAAGTATCGTTACGTCACTTGCTTGGACGCCGTTAACAATATCTGTATCCTCTTTCTCCTTTTAAGTCATAAAGTACCCATTGTGTTTTGGACTTTATTCATAATAATGCTTCATACCTCATGAATTTATTGGAAAACCGTCTACATTTTGTCTACCGAACCATTATGCAAAATATTTTGCCGTTCAGGTATATCTTAAATTCACTGTGTGATTGCTGCTCTGTTATTTTATTTTTTATTATTTTACATCGCCCGTCGTCGCGTGTACTGTGGGATACCAGCATATTCGACCCATCTTCCTGGCACTCATCGTCCTCAGTGGTGTTCGAAAATTTCGCGTGTTGTTTCGGCTGTTATTTGAGTATTTCGTCTTCTTCATAAATGTCGTATAATGCCGCTCGAGTCCCTTCTTCTTGCAATCTTAGGGTTGGATGAGCTAAGGCGTTCGCATGTAGATCCGAGGAGAGCGTTGGGGAGGAGTCGAATTGGGGCGTATGCTTCTTGATCGACGGCATCACGAACCATTGTGCTACGCTCTCACCTCCATGTGTAAAGGTTTATATACAATCAGTGTATTCATTCGATCGGTGCTCCATTTCACTATGTTCGGTTCGATGCGACTACGAACATCCATGTAACGAGGACACACACCTCTAGATCGTCGACTCCAATCAATCCGGCTCTGTAGAAGGCGAAGGGATCGAAACGTTAACCGAATAAATCTTTTTTTTAACCTTGTGTTCACACTATGACCGAGGAAATTACTGACTGTATATAATCAGCTTAACTTCCAGAAGAAGACGAATAGGTGAGAAAACTGAGTATCAAAAGAGATCCGATCTAATGACAAGTTAGAAAGATCGGCATGGCATAACGACCACCTTTCGACGAAACGTTCACTATAACTTCATAGAAAAGCAGGCTGTCCCTTTTATATGGTTTATTGCTTGTGTTCTTCGTATTTTATTTTTTCAACCTTTTTAATTCTTATACGACCCTTCTTCATGTCAACTGTGCGCATACCAGCACATCTCACAGTCGATTCGTTTCCTCGCATTCACCATTCACGAAAGTCTTCCAACTTTAACGTGTGGCTTCGGCTGCTGCTTGAGGAGTTTCGTTGCGTCATGAACGTCGTTGAATTTTGGTAAAGTGGGTTCTCACTGGAGTCCTGAGAAAACAGGACTAGACGTTCGCAATTGGACTGTGGATAGTGATTTTTTTCACAGAAAAGTCAGGTACCAATTTCTCGACCCCGGAGGGATGGGAGACTGGCGAGCTCGGTGCGGAACTGAACCAGAACAGTGCTCGTGATGGCCGATATCTTTACCACTGTGTTATTCGCTCTCTCTCATATTTTAACTACTCAGCCTTTGCATCTCCTAAAAATTGCCTGTAATCATAGGAATCTAATCCTTAAAAACAATTTCGCCTTCACTTTTGTAAACTATCATAATATTTTTTCTCATAGACTAATCCGATTTCTTTGAAGTTTATATTTCAAAATTTCAACCGACACTTTCATTTGTACTAGCTGTCTTTGGTTAAATAGACCCATTCGCTAAATGTTCCAGACACAAAAGCCTAAAGGTTTACACAGTGATTTTTTATTGGTTGAGTACAATAAGCGTGTTCGAATCCAGTTTCATTGAAAACGTGCAGCACGTTTGACATTTTAAACGACGGGGTTAAAAGTCGTCAAGGATAAGTCGTTCCTGTTACACCGTCAGAAAGAGAAACCTCCTCGTAAATGTTAATAAAAGGTGTTTCCTTCCCTTTTTTGTCGAATATAAAATAGGAGTGGACTAAAGAGTTAACAATAATAGACTTAGGCCTTGTTTTTCTCAGCTTCTACTTTTCTAGTAACCAAGATTTTTACATGATGTTCTATAGCTGCATTTTCAAAATGAAAGTGTTCGATTGAAAAACATCTTTTTTTTTATTATTTCAAAGCTGAATGGTTTACATTTATATCGTCGACTTTTATTTAATGCCTACTAATTTTCAATCGAAGGATACTACGTGAAATATAACCATAATGTTGCTGATATATTTGCAAAACTCTCTCTTTCCCTTTCCGAGAGCTAACGCTTTCACCACCGCACCATGCGAGACTTTCGTTTCGCCTGTCTCTCAGCCGTGTTATTGACATGAGGATCCAGACCAATCCCGTTTACGAGTGATTACTAATAGCGCCTATAGGTCAAAAACGCGTCTGAGAGACGGACGAAATGAAGGACTCGCATGGTACGATGGTGAACGTGTCAAGGGCAGTAGCGTGTTCGTTCCGCACTGCAGACACCAGCGGTCTGGAGTTTCGCAAATATCTTAGCAACATTATAGTTTACATTTAGTTCTTTACGATTTATTTTCATTCTTTTCTTCTATATTCCATCAAACGTATCTCTGTCATTGTCGCCCACTCTACTCGATTGTTCGGTTCAATCCAACCTCATTCTTATGCTTTTAGATGGAGTTGTTGCCCAAGGTTAAGCTTATATGCGGCATATTTCTTAGTCTCACTATCGTTTCTACCGTACTCGCTTGTGCGTTGTGGGATTTTCAGCGTCAACCTCTTCTCAGTAATATGTTGTATATGGGTATGTTAAAGTTAACTAAGTCTAGTCTTTTGATTCACATTACATCACAATACTTATGACATCCTCTCAGCAATATAGCTTATGTAATATATTTACATGAAGAAATCTCTTGCGCCTTGTGAAAAGTTTCTTTAGTTAATACATATTTACAGCACTTTCAGAGGATGGTAAATGGTCATAATTTAATTTTTCAGGTGGCCTTCTATTGGCGTTCATTCTGAACTCCATTATAGCATGTTTTCTTTTACTGGGAATTGCTCAACAGAATTTTCGAATGTTCTTTCCCTATATAGTATGCTCAACAATTCACGGTGTAATCAGGTTAGGTATTCTAATTGTAATTTTGCTGACTATCTCTACATGTAAACACGCCTTTTCAAAAGTGAACAATGGGGGCGTGCAAAATGAAGGCTATCCAGAGCTGAGAAGAGGAAAAGCGACAAATACAAGTTTTACGTCCTGGAGTTTACGTGTCCCATTCTTCGTCAGTTTAAGCCCAAATATCCAAACGCTTACACTGTTGGTTACCATAAACCTAAAGATTTTTAAACTCAACGCCTCAAAAACGTTCAGTAAGACGTCGACTTAAGCAATATCTTGGCTTTAAAGGAACCAAAACATGTGGTGCCAATGAACCACATCAGCGCAAATGGCTACGAACTGCTTAAGATTTAACCTCGCTTAGAAAGACGCCACTCCTTTTCATTAAAACTACCGTTTTTTCGCAGTTTCATATTCTATACTCAAAATTTTAAATCGCAAGAAATTTTCTGAAAGCATGACAACAAGCATTTCAAGCCGTTCTAGTCACACTCATGAGAATCAAGACAAAGACCACCTGATTTCAATTCTTTCTACTTCTGCTCAGCAAATACGAGGTGCTATTTTATTTCTTTATTTACGTACAAGCCAGAATTCACATGGAAGCGCAATGGGCCCCTCCCATTAGAATAACAGGTTTATATACTGTCCAATATCACGCGTGATAATGAGGCATTCTTCCCTGCCGTTCATTGTCGGATTTCTGGAATTAATCCAGAAGGCCTCTAGAGTTTTGCGCGCTTGTGTTCTCGATTCCTGTGCCAGGAATCCATTCCACCATCTGAACCCATTTCTAAGATAACCTTGCGTAGGGTCGCATGTAGTTTACATGAACTTCAACATAGACTCCGCAAAAAAGCTAGAGATGAAACGCAAAATAGATGCGAACAACACCAAGTGAGGGCCTTACCAATAGCATCATTTCCTTAGCTGTTCTTTAGACAACAAGAGCCCAATAATGAAGTCGATGTTAAATTTCGGTTGTTTACGAATGAAACTTTCAAAGTCCTTAATCACTACCGCGCGAAAAGATTCTGCTCCAACTTCACTGAAATACAAAAACGTGGTATGCGAGAGGTACGAGAGCTGATAAGGTTGAAAAACATAAGACTATGCGTTAGTGATAAGGGTGGAGAGTTTGTTCTAATTTTCCATCAGTTAGAGATAACGGAAAACCACCTTGAAGATACTTCACTTTATCACCCATCATTTGAGAAGGAGTTTAAAAGTAAATACCGAAAATTGAACCACGAATGGGCCAAAATGGCAAGGGCTACTGGTTTAAAACCATCAGTTATCTCTCAACTGAAAGTTGACTTTCCAACATGTCCCGTCTTGTACTCGCTTGTAAAAACTCATAAGTTAGTATCCAGCGGTGTTCTTGCGTCTACCGATTCATCATTATTTAAGGTTAGACCTTTCATTAGCTGTGTAGACGGACCAACGGATAGGATAACATTATTTTTACCAGTTGTTGAAACACATTCCAGCCCATCCTACGAATACCCAGATGTTCCTGGATCGTCTACGTACTGCTCAGCCTAGCAGCGCGTACGTGATGGAGTCCTTCGACGTTACCGCCCTTCATACAAACGTGTCGAATGACACCGCAATGCAAGCCATATGCGAACTCCTTATACAACACGAAGGAGAAATAAGCATGTATGGCTTCAAGATAGAGTAATTGATGGCGCTCTTAAAAGAATGCTTGAGCTGCTCAATCTTCAGATGGTCCGGAAAGTACTACACTCAAATAAGAGGGTTGACAATGGGACAGCGAATGGCGCCAAGTCTTGCCATTACGTTTATGACTAAGGTGGAGGCACCGGTGACTGATTTCGGGCCACTACTCTACTGTAGATATATAGATGACTGCTTTGTCCTTTGCTCAAGACAAGAGGAAATGGACAAATGTTTCGAGTTGTTGAATAAACAGAGTATATCAAGTTCACCAGAGAGAAACCGAAAAAAATGGCTTCCATTCCTGAACGTCCAAATTAACCTGTCAGAAAATGACTACATTACGAAGTGGTACCGAAAGCCAACTAGTAAAAACATCTTGGTATACTACGTCTTTTTTCACTCCTCTCACACGAAAAGAGAGCTTGTAAGAAACATTTATCGAACAGCTACCAGCGTGTGCACAGGAAGACAACAGAGAGAGGAGTCCAGGAACTTGGCGCGGCAAATAGCCATTTCCAATAGCTACGAAACTGTAGCTGAGGATAGGTGTAGGAAAAATCCTAGGCCTCCAAACGGCAACTCTAGCGATAGAAGGGTCTTGTTTATCCTACCCTCATCTAAACGATGTAAGTACAGCTATAAAACGTTGCTTAAAAAGGGGAGGGAATTAGAGAATTCGGTATACGTAGTTGAAATGCCAGCGACTAGTCTTAGGCGTCAGCTAGTTCGTAACCACCTATATGACCGTCTATGTGCAACGCAAAATTGCATAATTTGCCCCAATGGTAAAGAAGGTGTTTGCATGAGCTCGGGTATAGTTTATCTTATCTCCTGTAAGGTGTGCGGAGACGAATACATTGGCGAAACGGGCAGACCCCTCTGTGTTCGCATAAAGCAACACCTAGCCGACAAACATAAACCAAATACCCCGCTAGGCACGCATAGAACCCAGAGACATAACGGAGAGGACTTTGAAGTACGTGTCACGATCCTCGCACAAGAATCGAGAACACAGTTGGGTCAAGTTGAGAGCAACTCACTCGGCCAGACGCCTCCATAACCAAACAAAGAAACTCCAAACCAAGATTTCAATCACTTTGAACACAGCTTTGCACACTCACCGCTTCCTATGAGGTCTCCACTAAGTATGTCACGTAGAGACCAACCGCACAGAAATCATATGGAAGTATAATGTGCCCCTCACATCAGAAAAGCAGTTTTATATACTGCCCTATATCACGCGTGATAATGAGGCATTCTTCCCTGCGGTTCATTTTCGAATTTCTGGAATTAATCCAGAGTGCCTCGAGAGTTTTTCGCGCCTGTGTTCTTGATTCGCGTGCAAGGATCGTGACACATACTTCGAAGTCGTCCCCGTTATGTCTCAGGGTCCTATGCGTGCCTAGCGGGGTATTTGGTCTATTTTTGCTGGCTAGGTGTTTTTTCATGCGGACACAGAGGGGTCTACCCGTTTCGCCAATGTATTCGTCACCACACGTCTTACAGGAGATCAGATAAACTGTACCCGAGCTCATGCAATCACCGTCTCTACCACTGGGGCAAATTATGCAATTTTGAGTTGCACATAGACGGTCATATAGGCGGTTACGAACTAGCTGGCGCTTAAGATTACTCGGTGGTATTTCAACTACGCTCACCGAATTCTCTAAGCCCGCCCTTCTTAAGCAGCGTTTTATAGCTGTACTTATATCATTTGAGATGAAGGGTAGGATAAACGGGACCCTTCTATCGCTAGAGTTGTCGTTTGGAGGCCTACGATTTCCTCTACACCTATCCAGAGCTACAGTTTCGTAGCCATTAGAAACAGCTATTTGCCGTGCCAAGTTCCGGGACTCCTCTCTCTGCTCTCTTCCCGTGCACACGTTGGTTGCTGTTCGAAACATGTTTCTTATAAGCGCCCTTTTCGTGTGAGAGGGGTGAGAGGAGAGGTAATGAACCAAGATATTTTTACTACTTGGCTTTCGGTACCACTTTGTAATGTAGCCATTTTCTGATAGGNGTTTCGCCAATGTATTCGTCACCACACGTCTTACAGGAGATCAGATAAACTGTACCCGAGCTCATGCAATCACCGTCTCTACCACTGGGGCAAATTATGCAATTTTGAGTTGCACATAGACGGTCATATAGGCGGTTACGAACTAGCTGGCGCTTAAGATTACTCGGTGGTATTTCAACTACGCTCACCGAATTCTCTAAGCCCGCCCTTCTTAAGCAGCGTTTTATAGCTGTACTTATATCATTTGAGATGAAGGGTAGGATAAACGGGACCCTTCTATCGCTAGAGTTGTCGTTTGGAGGCCTACGATTTCCTCTACACCTATCCAGAGCTACAGTTTCGTAGCCATTAGAAACAGCTATTTGCCGTGCCAAGTTCCGGGACTCCTCTCTCTGCTCTCTTCCCGTGCACACGTTGGTTGCTGTTCGAAACATGTTTCTTATAAGCGCCCTTTTCGTGTGAGAGGGGTGAGAGGAGAGGTAATGAACCAAGATATTTTTACTACTTGGCTTTCGGTACCACTTTGTAATGTAGCCATTTTCTGATAGGTGAATTTGTACATTCAAAAATGGAAGCCATTTTTCTTGAGTGAGTGAGTGAGTGAATAGTGAGTCTACAACCAACCTACGTTCTACGTGGTTTATTTAAGACGAATGGCACCCACTTCGCATTAGTAAGAAAAGGTCATTGGGTTTAACCTTTAAAGACCAGTAAAGTTAGAGATTTCGGTGTTCGCCTACATGTCCACGAAATTGTGACATCAAATTCTTTTCTTTCTGGGCTCGACGCTTTACGCATTCAAGAGAACTAGGAAAAGCATGGAAAAAGTAGAGACAACTGTCGTCTGAATTCGATGACGTAGGTGGACTGACGTGTAAGTCAGATTCCTATGCTGAGGCACTGAAAATGAAATCTAACACTCTCTTCAAACGTGCTCCATGCACTGAGATTAGCAACTATTTGTGATGTTCATAACGTGTTCTTCGATAATGGAGATGGAATGAATAACGGTAGATGATGAAAGTTTGTTCCTGGTAAACGGAATCCACAGAAAGGACTAACAAGGATTTTTTTCTTCGATAGCCTTTATTTGTATTGTATGAATCCGTTTGTATAAGTAATTCGAACGATTTTAGTTTATGTGGAATTGGATTCTACATTGGAACCTCAATCTACACTTTAACAGCACAAAAACAATCTCGCCATGACATCTATGTGTTGGCAATTTTCTCCGTTCTTTTTCTGTTTTGGTACTGGAGTTTCAGTACAGTACGACGATATCGTGATCAAGTACGAAAAAGCGCCGGAGAACACTATAAACTCAATGACGATGAATTTATCTAAATTTACCGTCTGATATGTACTTACTCCAATTTTTTACATTATGAATTGTCATCGGTCCCACTAGAGATTCTGTTTCGGCCCAGCAACAACAAACGAATGGTGCAATGGAAACGATGCATATCGATTACTGTATGATGCAATACGAAATCATCTCTTGCTGTTTTATTTTACATCACTTACACAATTTTTCTCAATTGAACTTCTGGTTGTGAGAAAAAAAGCTGTTATATTGCCATAGGATTCTGTTCATTTATGTGAATTGATAAGAACTGATTGGATTTCGCAGAACTGTGATCATCACCCGCTTTGTATAGAAAATCCTAAGAAGCATCAGATGTTTCCTCCGTAATTTACTTTCACCGTAAATCCTCTCTATTAGTGATGTAGTTGAATGCAGTGACTTTTTTCGCCTTTGTCAAAAACAAAATAGTAGCTTTAGTCGAGCATGTAAATAATGTATATATACATATATATGTATATATTTATCCGGGAGTAGGACACAGGTTCTTGAGGCACTGATAAAACTAAGGGCGCTTCCTCTTCGTAGATCGTCCAAAGAAATGACCGATAAATATTAATGAGTGTATGCGAGAAAAATCAGTCAGTACGTTGTATGCAATTATGATACATGTGAAAAGAATTGTTGAAATATTTGAATCTGTGATCTGCTATGCTAAGAGGAGTTACTATCCAGAAAATGCACTTCGTTCTGATATGTACGATCGACGACCCTTAAGTGGCGTTTGGGCGTTAGATGCATCATAATTGAGTTTTCTATTAGAAAAGCTCATTTACAACAAAACCAAACGCATCTTGAGTGCATTCTGAGTGAGTTCTGTGCCATATTTTGGGCGAGGTGGTTTCTATGCGGTGGAGGAACTCAGCAAAAGATCTGTGAAAACCGTGAGCTGTTTCGTACGAAAAAAACCTCTTCATGTTTTTTCTTGTACCTGTTTCACCTTTTGTCTTTCTATCCAATTTAAAAGACGTGTGTTACTGAAGGCGTTCATTTTTCTCTCATATGTCTACGTTGTTTCCTTGTCGTTGAAATTTTCGGTCTTGAATGATTCCACTTTGGACAGGTCGTCATTTTTCTTTAATGAAGTGTAATGAGATAAAAAACAGCTATAAACCACTCCATTCTAAAGGCGAAGTACTGTTTCATGCCATAGTGACAATTTCATATCCACATATCATAGAATTCATGCACCTGCACGTCTTTGATTCGTTTATCTTTTGTTTATTTTCTTCTGAACTGAACACTCTGCTATGAGCATTGTGATAGATGACCGACTGTTATCGGAGACTTTGAAATTGTTGCGGGTTCTGTTGGTGAACTGAGCGAATAGAATATTACAGTTTCCTTACTGTGTATATTGGATACCAATCTACTTTAGTGGCCTACGAAACATCTGCCGACAACGTTGTACGCGAAAAATAAATGGCAAAAAACACCTGTTTTGAACCTGTATCATGAGAATCCGAATGTGAATGTGAAGCCTGTCTTGTATCTGTGAATGCTGTCTTGCATTTGGACCGCGCACCTCCCAGAAGAGGTCTCACGGTGCTGGGTCGGTCCCGCTTCAGCCCCACCAAGCTTCTCATCCCTCTGGAGTTGGGAAATTGGTGCAGGACTTGTCTGGACGAAAAATCACTTTTTGAGATCTAACTGGGGACGTTCCAGCTCGGCTATCTCAAGATTCCAGGGGAAATGGATGGGTCGTATAAAAGCAATAGAGGATAAAAAAAATCATGACAAACTACTGTGGTGATGTTTCTGTCTAAATTAAGAAGATAGCACCAATTTTTCTGCGAAAAAAGGAAAAACGAGTACTAGTATTCTTAGAATGTTATTCGAATCCTCCTTTTTCCACAACCAACTTTCTATTAACCTCAGCATTGACCAAATAAGTCTTCATATTGTTACTGAGGAAATACGCGTGCCATTCTAAACATACTTTTCTAGAAGTTGCTGTAGAAGGTGTTCTTTTTTGTTTTTTCTTAAAGTCATTCGTGTTTTTAGTCTATTTCTTAGAAGATTTAAAAGAATTAAAAAATGTTTCCAATTTAAAGCTTCGCGTATTGATCACGGAGAAATCGCAAACTGTCACAAATTTAGGTTTTGCCTGAAATGTCAACGTGACTAGAAGATTTGTGCAAAATCCTACAGGATTGAATGTGCAAGAATTGAGCCGAGCACAAAATATTCCTTTACCTTTAGCGTTCTAAGCTTCACCTTCATTGATAATGAACTAGCACAAAGCTCAGTTTCTCTCTTAACGACATGATTCATTCATTAAAAGAAATCAGTTTTTAACTGTGTTCAATTCTTCACACGAAATATGACTTATGATGGTTGCCATATAGAATGGTGGGGTAAAGATAATACAAAGGAACACGGGAATAAAAACTACAAAATATGCTGTACATGCACTTTGAAAGAGATTTATGAAAACAGACAAGCATCAATGTGACTGCTTTATGTACGAGTTCCTTTTTATCAAACAAATCAGATTAAAGTGTCCCAAAAGAAAACTGGAAGAAATACATGGAAAATTGTTGGGAGTTTGTAAAAATCTCACAATTACAGCGAAAGACCGACCTACAGCGAGAATGGCTTTGTATGTGGCTCTAATACAACCCAGGGAGAGCCAAAGGCAGGACTCTTTGTTAGAAGGAAAGCATCTGCACTCTAGAAATGCTGACGAGCAGTGGTATCGGCGTCTTCATATAAATGTTCGCCACTCTCATTTTGTATCCGCCTCCATTGATTTCCACAATGTGATTTTTTTTTCTGCGTCAGTACCACAAGGTCATTAACTTCTTCCCTCCTAGTCACGAAAAGAACGTCATCCGCTTACCAAAAATGGCCATCTGTCTACAATGGGCGCTCCTAGATTTGCGACATAGCTCGCTTTCTCTGTTGGATTCACTACTATCCACATTCTTGATCATTTTCATACTCACATTTTTTTAGCATTACAAATCGATTTGACCAAAAGCCTCTGATTAAATAGACGAGGAAAAGGATTGGGTGCCATTGAAACGAATGTAATCTTTGTCGATCTCCAATGGAGTGAGTAGATGACTAACATTATTATAGCTGATACGTCGCAGCTGTTACCCAACTATCTAGTTCACTCACTCCTTTTCAAGTTCTACTTCATAAAATTTGTTTATTGGTCGCACCTTAGCAGTTCTCACAGAGTTAAACACCTTCTAGAGCTCTTAATCATTTGACCGATTTGTTTAAATGCTATATTTCAATAAAAGGTGCTACTTTCAACTCGAAAAAAGACGCTCTATGTATTGATTTCGGATTTATTCTACAAATGCTAAAAATTGTGAAAGGTTGTCAGGACTTGTTTTCTTCTACACGATCCGTCCTTCACATCTATTGTTCGGCTCCCAGCACTTCAATTCGTTTCCTCGTATCCATTGTCCACCAGGATCTTCCAACTTTTAAGTGTGGCTTCGGTTGCTGCCTGAGGATTTTCATTTTATATTGAATGTCGTAGAATGCATGTCGACTAATTCTCCCTGGAGTTCTGAGATATCCGGGCTGGAGCGTTCCCAATTGAACTGCAAAGAGTGATGTTTTCCCAGACAAGTCCGGTACCAATTTTCCGACCCCGGCGGAATGAGAGGTTTGGTTTGCCGGGAACGGAATCGAGCTCTCACTATGCTCGTGATGACAGACATCACTGCTACTGCGATATCCTCCCCATTATACATATATTCATTTATTAATAACTCAGAAGACCGACCTATAAACCTCGGCATAAATAATCGACATGTTTATTTATGTATTCTTATGAACTGATCTTATTGAGAAGATGCTAGGTTGCTATAAATTCTTTCGTTTCCTCAGAGCCGTACTGTTACGAGTAACTCCCACGAAAGGCGAAATCGCCAAAACGTCAGCCATAGACCAACGACGACAGCAACAACTTGTTGCAATCTCGCATCAGCTCAACAAGATCACTTCATAAGAACGTATAAATAAATATATCCATCTATTTATTTATCTTTTTGTATATTTATACCAAAACCGAATGAGAAATCCATGGGATGGAAGACACTGATGTGCAGTAGTACTCCATGGTCCTTCCGCGTTCAGTTTTACAGCCCATTCATTAGTCGACAACATCGTCGCAAAAACGTAAGGGTTACCAACAAATCACTGGTGTCCCAGGTACACATAACATGTGATGACTGGACCAACGATAAGAATTGAAGCGATTTCTGAGCGCCTTACCATAAAGTGATTTGCTGAATTACTTTCGCATATACGAGAAAACTATAAGTTTTGCAACCTCAATCCTTAGAAAGCGAGCTAATCTATGTTGTTAAAGTAAAATATGATGCCATTCTATTGTCACCAGTGAAACGAAATCATCATATTGGCTTCATCAATGAACGGGAGTTTTGGTTTTAAGGATACAATTTGCTTTTATTTTTTGAAGCAATCAAAATCAATAGATAGATAGAGTCGTAATTGCAGGATTGATTGTCCGGGAAAAACAACTTACTATCATCGAACTATCACAACTACCAACCAGCAGCATCTTGCATAAAAGGGCATCACCGAACGAATGAGTATGCCTCATTCGAGAGACGGTCCGCTTAGGAAGAACCAACTCGATACGAAGACGAAGACGCCACATTGAAACGAAGAAGAACGATGGACTATCGACTCGGATCGTCGGCTCTGATGAAGACGAAGACGTCGAAACGTCAGTCGAATAAAACTGTTTATCAACCTCGTGTAAGCTCATCAAAAAAAAAAGAATACAATCGCAGTCATTTGTGAAAATGCGTTGTAACACTTCAGAAGGCTTTGTATCTTTGATCTGATTGCTATTCATCTTTGAATACTTCGAAATTATTTGACATAAGCTTTGAATAGAGTACCGTCCATACCCGTTCGCGTAGAGGAATCGAAGAGAGTTTCGTAGAAGCCGATACATGAATGCAATGAAGGTTTATCATCGAAAGCCATTAGAATCACTGATGTAGCTACGTAATAACGAAGAACGTTATTATTCCTAATAGGATACAAAATCTTTAAGCTATTTTATCTAAATGACCGAATTACAAATGTTCGAAATCGATTCGTCGTCCAAACATTGAGCGAAGTTTGACTTTGTTTGCCATACCAGCATAAATGAAAGTATTTATAATCTGTACCTCATTGAACACTCGAATTGCAAATACAGCTAGCTGTTGAGCAAATTAGATCTGGTGTTTCTCAGTGGATTAGTGAGAAAAAGCCTTTAGCCAACATTCTAAGACATTTTTATGTGGTCGATCCTGAGGTGCTCTTCTTGGAACATGGTGCAGATATAGAATTCTTATTACTTTTCGCCCACCATTGAACGTCAGCCGTCCCCCAGATGTTGAACACCATCAGTGGTAGTAATGCGATTACCGTGGAGATGTAGAACACCATGTTCCATTCATGAGGCAGTCCGTTCTAAAAGAAGATTTAATTTGGTTCTAATTCTCGAGAAATTCGCATGAGGTCAACACCCAAGTAGTATGGTGTGAAACGAAACTAATACTTTGTCCTTATCACTTCTTCGCTGGAGTTCCTTATGTGTTTCTTACTTTTCGTAGTTGTAGCAGTTGACGCTACATGTTTTGGTAAGCATAGAAATTAAATGAACTCGTACAGTTCTTGTTAGATAAATTGAACCAGCTCGAAATTGTCTACTTACCCGTGCAATCCATTTGGTGAGTATAGGATTCACAATTCCCGAACAAGCAACAAAAAAAAATGCCACTCCGGTGATTGCTCCGGAATAGGCCGGAGCCAGTGAAACAAGGGCAGTCTGACAGCCAGGTGTATGCAGACCTGCACTATGGAATTTTTGAGTAACACGATTATAACTTTTACGGAAGACAAGGTCCTTTTCATTTATTCATTCTTTCACCTCATTTCTTCATGCATGCTGTTCCAGTCATCTTTGGGTGACTTGAGTTATTTTTGGTTAATCGAAATCTCTCCATAGATGACTTCCTTATAACAAAGATGAAGGCCAACATATTAAAAAAGTCGCAAATGATTGATTTTGTGGGGGAACATTTTTAAAGTTCAACAGAGATTTATTTTTAGGAAGAGTTTTTTTTCTTCTCACACCCACCTCCACTAGAGGCTTCTCCTTGGTCTTCTAGTGTAACCATAAAAAACTTGGAATGTGATCACAGAGACACCACTTATTAGCTAAGCATTGCTGGTCTAAGTGCTTCGGTAATGGTTTTTTTCACTACTATTCTCTCACCCAACTTATCGTGGAAAGGTTTCAATCTATAACAAAGCACAGGTCAAACTGTATAGAGTTATCTTTCTACTTCTGTTCAGCAAACACGAGGTGCTATTTTATTTCTTTATTTACGCACAGGCTGACGTTTCGGCGGATTTCGCCTTCCTCAGAGCCTGGAAGGGTCAAGTTGACAGCAATCCACTCGGCCAAACACCTCCATAACCAAACAGAGAAAACGCTAAAGCAAGATTTCAATCACATTTAACACAGCTCCGCACACTCACCGCTTTCTATGAGTCACATGAGTGGTTAATTCCAAGAATCCGAAAATGAACCGCAGGGAGGAATGCCTCGTTATCACGCGTGATATTGGACAGTATATAAACCTGTTATTCTGATGGGAGGGGCACATTACGCTTCCATGTGAATTCTGTGCGATTGGTCTTCACGCGACATACTCAGTGGAAGACTCATAGAAAGCGGTGAGTGTGCGGAGATGTGTTAAATGTGATTGAAATCTTGCTTTAGCGTTTTCTCTGCTTGGCTATGGAGGTGTTTGGCCAAGTGGATTGCTGTCAACTTGACCCTTCCAGGCTCTGAGGAAGGCGAAATCCGCCGAAACGTCAACTTGTGCGTAAATAAAGAAATAAAATAGCACCTCGTGTTTGGTGAACAGAAGTAGAAAGATATATTCAATCAATGCCGAGGTTAATAGAAAGTCGGACTTGGGAGTTACTACAAGATGTATAGAGTTATTCAAATAAAACTCTGAGCCTGAATAGTCATTTCTAAGCTGTCAAATTCTAAAAAACCTATTACCCAACAAACTTTAGGTTATCGATCTCGATCACTCTTGATCTGAAGGGTTTGTTTGAATACCCATGAATTGAGCAGATATTATAAATATAGCAGGTAAATATTAAACGGATTCATTGAAGGTGCACAAACTAAATGAGTTGAAACGAAATCTCTTAGAAGAGAAATTTCACAGACAGTTATTTTGAAGAACTGGTAGGTTGACTGTTTAACCAAGGTATTTATTTTTTACCTTTAATTACAAAATTTCGGTGTGGTTTTACTCACCTGCTGATGCCATGCTGAGACATAGAAACAGCACAGCTAGCGGTGCTCGTGACGAGTCAAGCAAGGTGGCAGAGAAAAGAAAGACGCCCAATCCCAAAGAGGCAACAGAATTTAACACCTATACATGCAAACTTCAGTAACGATTTCTTCCGTTTTTTCTTGTCTTATTAACTGTAAAGCTCTAAGTGCTTCAACTCCTTGAAAATTAGGCAGAAAGTAGGAAATATCCTAAGTTGGCTGAACACAAGTCACACCTAGTGTATGAGGTTTCCATCGCTGAATTTGAATGGTTTCAACACTTAGCACTTTTTTGTCTCCGCCTTCTTTTTCTTATGAGCAACGTTATGCGCAGCACTCTATAGATTTTGGCAATGCAGACCCCGGTAATTTTGCTCTTTCGCTCTGAATCACCTCTGTCGTTATCAAGTTCGTGGAAACTGCGTCCGCACTGTCTATTATCAGCATGTCATTTGAAATTTGCAGAATACTTTGTCTTCCCAACGGCTTACCGCCTCGTCGTGCCTAAGGGGTGTTCCTGGGTGTCGTACTGCGATGAACAACGAGGGATTTATTTCCTAGCAGGGTCTACCAAGCTGAGGGAGTCCGGCATTTCCATCAGGAAGCCTAGCTAAGAATAAACCATTACCAGGGTCCATCATCGTCCTGGTATCAAAGTCGCATGGTGGTAAACCTTCCTCTGATCCACAAGGGCTGCGGCTGCACGTGGTGGTGAGCACCTGGGACAGACTATGGCCAAGCTGGCCTCGGAACTCCAGGGAACCATAATGGCTTAACCTACAAATCTCCGAAAAATGGAGATTATGCTGAGGCCCCCACAACCAGTGAGGACAGGTCGTTCAAGTATCAAGTAAGTATCAAAAATACATTATTAGGCTTTGTTCAGTAAGATAAGTAGAGTCGTCTCACCTTGCAAATAGTGCTTCGCCTCCATTTAGTGTGCCGTTGTAGCCAAGTATTTGCGTAACTGCTAGCCAACTTTGATAACCACAACGAAGCAGTGGGTAACGCCGATAGAATGCCGTTCTTCGTCGACGTGTAATGATGAACGTCATGTAAATAGCTGAAAAGCTCCGTGAAAGCTGCATTAAGACCACCATCTTATTTGAGGTCGTCTTCTATTCAATTCCTTGCAGCGATTACTATATTTTTACAACATCATTACTGCAGTCGTCAAAAACATGCGTAAATTGGACGATTTTCGTAGACGATGTATGGACAAGAACGAACCGAACGAAAGAAACGCTGCTATCTGCACAACATATGGAGACATATTATGTATATAGATAGATAGATGGCTTTATCACTACAACCTCCATCTATTGTAAGGCAACGCTCACATATCAATCTGTATAAGTAAAAACGTGCAAGCAATACCACACTTGCATTGATCCTCACCGAGTCGATGTAAACAAACAAACCTATTTATTCTGATTAGAATGAATCCTCCTAACCATTTACCGCCTCATCGTGGCTAGGAGGAGCTCCTGGATGTCGGATTGCGATGTACAGCAGGGAATTCACCTCCTGGCAGGGTCTCCCCTGCTGAGGAGTGCGGCATTTCCATCAGGAAGCCTAGCTAGGAGTAAACCAATACCAGGATCACCACCGTCCTGGTATCAAAGTCACATGGTGGCAAACCTCCTTCTGATCCACAAAGGCTGCGACTGCCTGTGGTGGTGAAGGCCTGGGGCAGACTTTGGCCAGGCTGACCTCGGGATTCCAGAGAACCAAAATGGCTTAACCGGCAAACCTCCGAAAAATGGAGGTTATGCTGGAGCCCGCACAGCCATTGAAGACGGGTTATTCAAATAAGTATCAAGTAAGTAATAATGAAGAAAGCATCATAACCAACTGAGCCTAGGCCGGGTGATTATACTCATAAACTTTAGAGAATCACTCCATTATGGTAAACATGCAATGCGCTTACTTTGTTTTAGTTTTAGTGCTCTTTCTTCGTCAGAGCACAATTTTTTCCTTTATTAAGATATCTAGCAATTTAGAAAAAAAGAAAAACGTTTCCTACCTAGGCAAGAACATGATCATCGTCATAAGTGGAAATTCATGACAGATTACAGCAATCACAGTCGCCCAAACAGCTTCGGACCTAAGCATTCGTTTCCATGGCACCTAAAACTTAATGAACAAGGTAGCCTATGACTACACAACTAGTAAACACAACAAGGTTAACGTATTTTCTGCGAAGGAGAAATAAACTCGCTTTTTAATCAGAGCGCCGGCACATCGATACATTTAATTACTCTATGGAACACCAAAAGCTCTCAAATGTTCTTAGCGGGTCTACAAATGAGATTTCCTCCTACTCCACATGTTCTCACTTTGTTCAAAAACCTATAAAACATTTAGTGAACTTTTAGTAGAACATCTCTAGATAAATGTTAAGTCACATCAAAAATTTATCTGAAATGAAAAATGGGGAACAGAATCTAACACGAAAGCTGTGCCATCATCGGTTGTTACCAATTAAAGGAAGAGCATTAATAGACATTACAGTAGACGATATAATCTAGTTAGTTTACAACAGAATAAAACTGGTGCACGACTGGTGCATTACCTTTCGTTCCATCCGCTTCATACCTACGTCTTCATTTGCATTCGAACACATGATGAATTTTAGCTCAGAGTTTGTAATGCATGACTGCTTACTGGGCTTATCGGCACCTGAATGATAGATAGGATTAACATAAGTGCCAAAATTTCTGTTTCGCAGAATCGTTAAGTGAAAATCTGCTTATATGGAAACTAGATAACTTCTAAAGAGTGTTAGGTAAGAATAACTCAAGTGTAGTTGCTAACTATAATTGCACTACTCCTTGCCTCTTTGAGGACCATAATTTACTGCTTTGAAAAAAAAATTAGACTATCATTTTTAAAGGCCTCTTTTTTATGTTTTTTAATTTAATTTCAACAAAGCAAAGTTCCGACTCTTCGCTAAACTGCTGCCGAGCCGGCTTTTAGGTTGTCAATTCTGGTAAAGCGACTTTGGCAGAGGAATTTTCTACAAAGTTCTAGAAAGACATGACTGCACATGTTTGAGCTGAGCCAAGAGTGGGAATCCATTTCACATGCAAGCAACCACACCCGGTAACGAATCGTTGAAACCACATGTGGTCGAGCATTGTAATGAAAGGAATAGATTTAAGATCGTATCTTCAAATAAGGGTGCGTGTGGCGCAGTGGTTGGAGGCGCCCTGCAGCACACACGTGGAATCGATGTTCACGCCCATAGCCCACCAAGCCTTCCATGTCTCCGGAGTCGGCAAATTGGTACCAGACTTGTCTAGGAGGATAGAAGTACTGGCTCGATACATCGGTGGGCAACCGCGAGTCATTGTGAAGGCCAGGTGTGGATTCGATCACCTCCAACGATACTTAATGAAGTCGAATGCATCGCGCATTCCTCAGAGATTGATCAACGCTGAGAGCTTTATTAGAGCTACAGCTTTTATCATCAAATACTCCCTTAGAAAAACAACTAGTGGGAGAAGCTTATTTCAAAGTAGCACCAGCAAAAATATGATTCGGTCCAATGTGGTAAGGCACTCAGCTATCGCCCCACGTCTTGAGGTTCTTTATGAACCATTTTCTCTGTTGACGCTGCAACAGCAAGTAGTGGATTCAAATCCGTGCGAAATTGCAGAAAAACAAAAATTTTTTCTGTACGGTGACCTCATCGCGCAAAAATTTGCTGCTGTCACCACAGACTCACTAATTATAATTTGTCCTAAAAATCTAATTTTGTTAAACTCTGATAGCAATAATCAATAATCTTCCTGATGATTGAGTAAACGTGCGGCTGGTATGGAAACTTTTATTCGAGTGGCACTTCGGTGCCTTCGTTTTTTTAAAGCGGCGTTGATTCGACTAGGTGTCTCAAACTTGGTCCTTGTCGCGATTTGGTTCTTTGTGGAATTGAACTCAATGGACGGAGCACTGTTCGAATGCAGAAGTTTACCCAGTGTTGCCCTTTTACGCAGGTCGGAAGTTGATCTATTGCTGCCATCCAATATGATCCGCTTCTTTGTGAGCAATCGGGTGTCCAGTTGGGTCGTGCAGTCTTCCACTGAATTCGACTCGATGCGACAACGAAGACCGATATCGCGACAACGGCTAGCCGTGGACCATCGACTCGGATCAAAGGTGCTTTGAAGAAGGCGAAGGTGCAGGAACATTAGCCGAATAAAAGTTTTTATACCAACCTAGGGTTAGGTCAATCAAATAGAAAATTATTAGGAGGATTTGCAGAAGACAACGAATAATTTTCTCCCGAATTTCTTGCCTTCTCGATTAAATGGTAAGGAAATAAATGTATAACAGTTAAGAAATACCAATAATTGAGTAAATGATCACGAAGAAAACTCCAGCCATTGCGGAAAGATAGAAAATAGCTGGCCAGCCACCGAATAGCGTTGTCTGGGCGCATAGTGCTCCAGCGGCCGGGATGATTATGAGCGTTCCTGAACCGAACTTTTTTTCTTCTTGGTATTAGAGGACTTAACGAACTGATTGAATGCGAGAAAAATTTGGAATAAACGGTTAAGCGTTAAACTTAGCGAAATAGAAAGACATTTCTTATTGTTGAATTACTCAGTAAATAGATGAGGATTTCACACCAACTTCGATTTCAAAATCACCATCGATAAATAGTTTTGCTTATGGTTTTTCACAAAAATTTGCATACGCTCCGAACCTCAATGACCTAGTAGGCGATGATGTAGACATCACTGAAGCTTCGTGATAAGTTTACCAACTTTGCATCAATAATTTACTTAACGTGGAAGCGAACCTATTTGCCATGACTACCGGTTCACTCGGCTTTGACAACCTTCGTCGTTTAAGTGCCGACATCAAACTATAACGAAGAAGAAGTCGAAGCGTTCTATATGGACTTGGAAAAGTTCTACAGAAAAGATCATACATTCTTCAAGGTTATCATCAGAAATTTTAACTCCAAGATTGGATCAAGAAGAACGTTTTAACAACGTCACATTCGGACCCACGGATCTGAATGGAATGAAGAGGGTGAGCGGCTGCCTGAGTTTATCATGACGACCAAGACCATCCATGGTAACTAGCATTTCCAGAAGCCCCACCCTCAACGCTGGACGTGGGAGGTCTCCCAGTGCAAAGTACCACAATGAAATAGATCACATCATAGCAAAACGAAGGTTTTACTCAACCAATATCGCTGTTGTCCCAAAATTCTACGCGGAATCAGCCCACCGCCTCTTTCGTACAAGATTCCATTTCTCACGAAAAAAGAAAAGTTGCGACAAGGCGATAAATCGTTGGGAAAGTTAAAAAATTACTAGAAAAAACTTATAACGTGTGTAATAATACGTGCAAAGACGCTGGTTCGACCTCATCTCGGGCCGACAATGATTCTTATCCCTCAAAGGTCAAGTTGTTACTAAGCTTTCATCGGAAGAGTTCTCTTGGATGCAAAAATCAGGCCAGCAACTGGTGAAATTTCGAAAACGCTCATGTACAGCTATCTCGGGTTTCTAGGAGAAAAAAGTTGTTCAAGTAGCGAAAGAAGGAGCAGTCATAGGAACTGTTGTGTGTTTATGCGATTTCTTAATGACGGACAGTCCAACTACTCAATAAGGTATTACAATGGATAGGCGACGTGTAGTGCAATTGTTAGACATGTATTCTATCGCGTGCTCCAGGCTCACCAAACCTTCCATTCCTCTGAGGTTGACTAAGTCGTTCCAACCGTGTCTGAGAGGATAGCCGTACTGACTCGATATATCAGTAGGTTACCGTGAGTCATCGTAAAGGCCAGATACGCATTCAGTCACCTCTGATGAAGCTCGATGAAGTCGAATGCACTGCGCTTCTCTCAATGATTGATCAACACCAAGAGCTTTAACCTTTTATTTTTAGTTTTTGTTGGATAATCTTAGAAAATTTTCGAATAACAACAGCAAATAGAAAAAGTTTACTTCATTATTACTTAGAATGAATAATTATGGTTATCACCGTAGTAACTAATCCATATCCTATTTCTCACCTACCCAATTGCCTTCCTCCAGTCGCAAGTCCAAGGGCATAGCTTCTTTCTGAAGTGAGAAACCACCTCGTTATCAAGGAATTCACCGCCGGCTGCAGAAGCGCGTCAGCGAATCCCACGAGGAATCGGCCAGCAACAGCGAAGTAGACACTAAAATCACTTTTTCGTGGTTAATTCTTGCTGTTCATCTTTTTCCATCCTCCCAACGGTTTACTGCCTCATCGTGGCTGAGAGGTATTTCTGGGTGTCGGACTGCGATACACAGCGGGTAATTCATCCCCTGGCAGGGTCTCCCAAGCTGAGGAGTCCGGCGTTTCCATCAGGAAACCTAGCTAAGAGTAAACCAATACCAGGATCCACCACCGTCCTGGTATCAAGTTCGCATAGTGGTTAATCTTCCTCTGATCCACAAGGGCTGCGATTGCCTGTGGTGGTGAAAACCTGGAGCAAACCTTGACCAGGCTGACCTCGGGACCCCAGGGGACCATGATGGCTTAACCAGCAAATCTCCGAAAAATGCAGATTATGCTGGGGCCCGCAGAACCAGTGAGGACGGGCCATTCAAGTATCAAGTAAGAAAGTTCATCTTTTTAAGGATTTTTTCTCCTACTTATTATTACATTCTACATGGCAAAAACATCACCAGTAACAGCTGCATCATTCACTGATTACTAGTTAGCACGATCGGGAATTGTTAAAAACTTTACTTGTTCCCCTGTTCGTGGACATGTTCAGTGGACTTTCCTCAACGGGGATTATAGCTCCACTACTTTTTGTATGATTTTTTTTTACTGTTTCTCTACTTAAGTACAGAATTTTTATACAGTCGAAATATAGTTTACGATTAACATATACGCAGGTGCTCTAACTCCAAGTGCTCAAACTTGTGTCAATATGGACCTAGAATGTGAATAAACTTGCTGCATTAGAGACAAAGAAGGGTGTCGTTTTAGATCAGCTTTTCATTCGCAGTCTGGTGATGCGACACGGAACCTAGCAATTCAATGGCCCGAAATTCCTCAAAAGAGGAAGATTTGTTCTATAGAAACTAAACGCAATTAATCTGTCCATGTGTTTTACGTGACATTCATACGTCTTTTGTCCACCGATATTAAGCGTATTTCCAACGATGTACAGTTCAAAATTGTGATACGTACCTTACCGGCGAGAATCTTCCTATCAAAAGGTTGGCTATCACAGCCAAACTGACGCTGATTACAATCATATACTTGGCGTTGAACTTATCAGCAACAAATCCAGTTAGTAGCATAAGTAGTAGCCCGACATTGAATGCCGAGAAAATATAACCCTGAAGAGAAAACAAGAAAGAAAAAGTGGAACTGGGCATTAGAATGTTAGAAAACATTTAAAAAACTAGTACTACGTTTTAACAATTCTAGTAGAACTTCAGGATAATCACCAAGTTCAAAAAGATCTGAGCACAATTTTGTGTGCCTTATGCGATCGATGAGTTCTCTGAGAATCCCGAAAATGCCTTCATGCTTCAATGTTTCATGCTGTTTTCTATTTTCGTTGAAGGCCCATGGTAAATAGATAAAGCAATTGCTATATTTCAAAAAATTTCGACTGCCTTAGATTCAGATTTTTTTCACCTATAGGTTTTCCGTGAACTGCTTTTGCTCCATTTCATGTGCAGTCCGATCATTCTATCTGGTTTATTGAAATCATTAATCATCTGCGTCCCAATGGTTTACCTCCCCATCGTGGCTGGGAGGTGTTTCTGGGTGTCGGGCTGCGATGTACAGCGAAGGGATTCATCCCACCGGCAGAGTCTCTAAAATTGAGAAGGAATCCGGCGTTTCCATCAGGAATCCTAGCTAAGAGTAAATCAATACCTGGATCTGTCACCGTCCTAGTATGAAACTAGTCGCATGGTGAGAAATCTCTCTCTGATCCACAAGAGCAACTACTGCCTGTGGTGACGATGAGCTGGGGCAGACTTTAGCCAGGTTGACCTCGGGCCACCAGGGAACCATAATGGCTAGGTCAGCTAAACTCCGGAAAAAAGGAAACTATGCTGGGGTCCGCACAGCCGGTGAGGACGGGCCGTCCAAATATACAAGTAAGTGTTTAAGCAACCGCTCTATTTCAGCGGTACTCCTCAAAAGTACGACGCTGCCAGTAAAAGAAAGTTTTGATAAAGAAAATTTCTTCATTCCAATTGAATGACTATATAATCTACAGTAAGGCATGTGTTCGCACAATTTACACTTCCCATCTGGATCTTAGTGATCGCATCGAGTGGAATTCAGTGGTGTAGCGCTCGAAAGAAGTAACCTCACTCAGTAGTGCTCTTTTATACCCTTTCATATAAGGTCTTTGCTCACTGCTTGTGCACTGATAATGATTTATTGTCACTACGACAATAGATTAAACAGCTGCCGGCACTGAACTTTAGTTGGATGCCTGGATGCCTTAGATCGTCTATCTTCATTGGTGGTGCCTACACCACCATACTTCCCATTCGTTTCTCTCTCGCACAATTATCGTCCATGGTGATGGTTTGTTCCGAACATGGTGACATAGAGGAGGCCCGTTCCGTTTTCCTAAAATCGCGGCATCTGCGAATGCAGATATTTGACGTTGGCTACGAACACGTCCGTCCGTCCTTTGGTTGATTTTCCGAGAGAAGGATTGGATTCTTTTGTTGTCCACACCAATTTTCTCTTCCTGCATCTGTCATCTGCTCTTCTTATTATGTGACCATCTAATTCGTGTTTCGCTATCGGTATATCTTCTCCTTGATTTCGAAGATTGGAAAGGTTCCGAATATCTGACCTGAGCGTTCCTTCACGGCTGGTGCACAACGAAATAATATTTTTAAAAGCCGGTTTTTATATGGCTTGGGTATAAGAGATCAATGTTTTGTTTTATTTATGAGCTTTCACGTGGCCGATAAAACATCAGAGAGTGTTATTCCAAATACCTAGAAATAATACACTAATCATGGACTGTGGTTCTGTAAGATCAGTAAGTCGGCTTCATACGCGATCAGTAACAATAGAATCGCAATCCTTTGGAAGCCGTCAAGTACCCGTTGAATAGCTAAACAGTGAACAAAATTTATTCGGTATTCCAGACAGAATTCTGAACACTTAGTGCATTTCAGTAGTAGCCAGTGCAGCAGGACAGATATAGAAGTCATGAAAGTTAAACTACTTCTACTTCATTCAAGCTTCTTTATATGGTCGACACCACAACCTTTATGAGAAGCTCACATACCACATTATAAAGCATAATAAAGCTGAAGAAATCACCAAGGATTACGTCTTCCATTGATCAGAGATCCTTTCCATTTGGCCTCATGAGGGCACAATCTTTCCTTTGTGACAATGAGTAGGATTTCCCTATGTGTTGTGTCGTTAGGCAATTCCCACAACCAGTGACGATTTCTTTCGAATTGCCTTCACTGGTCTCACGAAAACAAAGTTGTAGAAAGAATGATCGCACAGATATTTCTTTAGTTAATAATGTAACGAATGCCAAGCGTAGTCATCAGTCGGAGAGTTTAGCGAATAACAAATGACGACAACTATTTTCCAGCAAAGCATGTTTTGAGGACTGACCGCGACCATCGCGGCTGTAAAGATCTTGTGTGGATCGACTATGTACAGGCACCTGTCTCACCTGTCTGACTGTGAAAATGTAGACGATCTGCGTCTTTTGTGCGAAATGTCCTGAGGTCAACACTTACTTGTCTTCGTAAATAAGAAACTTTTTGAATCAACAACAGGTCAAACTGGTGAACGGAAATGCTTTTGTTAGATGGTCGATAAAAATTGAGAATTATGTATAAAAGCTATAAAAGCTAACAGACCTATAAAAATATAATATATAGAAGAAAAAAGAGTAGAAATATAGAACAAAAACTGGAGCAACCGTTCGAGGACAACGTCTGCTCTTCACTCTTTAAGATTTTCTTTTATCGCCGTTTCAGTTGTTTTACAAGTTCAGACGTGAGTTGACATTGCATGTAGCTCGTACGATGCATATCGTATCAGCGTATCGGCGTACCTTGGCGTATCAGCTCGAGTGTAGCTAGAAGCAGATATCTACCTCGGTTACTTTCGAACTCTCAGACTTCTTAGTGATAAGATGAACATGCTGAATGACTCCATCGTATTCCTCATCGATTTTATCAAGGGCGGCATTTTCCCAACAGCCGTTTAATGAACTGAATAAATCCCAGTTCGTGGTAGACTTGCGACTTGGTTTTAATTTAGCATCTTTTCCTCCTTTTCGTAAGAAATGTGGTCCTGAGTGAAGAATGGGATGCTCTGATCCGAGTAACATTTTGGGACAACAGCAACATCGGTTAAGCAGAACCTTGGGTTTACTATTATGTGGTTTGTTTCGTTATGGCACGTTCACCTAGGAGACCGCCACACCCAGCGTCGAGAGGAGGGCTTCTAGAATTGCAAATTGCCATAGTCTTCTCGTCTAAAGCAGTTCGACGACATTGTACCTTAGTGCAAATTGCCATAGTCTTCCCGTCTAAAGCAGTTCGACGACATTGTTCTTGCTTGCATGACCATGTTCTTTATCGAGGATGCAAATGAGCGTGCATTACCCAATGCTGTCGTATCAATGCTCTTTCGAGTAAGGCAAATAAGGTCCACTTATTTTAGTGGGTACGGCGTTTTATACTCACGTATATCTTTCTCGGAACGTTGGGCTGGGTATATCCACGAGTAGCTTATTAGGCCTTGCCGGAGTACACGGGGAGTTTATTGGTCGGAGGCGCACCTAAAGGTCTCCCGTCTCCCTATTACTTGATTGCAGGTTTTGGCAGAATTCACTCGTAGAATACAATCCGCATAGGCGTGAACGCACCCAATCACGCGTGTGTGATAGGGTGCTCCGTCTCATGGAAGCATAAGGTAGCTTTTGGTCCGCGATTATCCCTTTATACTCCATGTTGCTTTGCGACCAACCGAGATGAGATCTCTCTATGCAAAAGATTACAGCGATAATTATTGAAAATAAGTTAATTTCCAAGGGCGCATGTGGCGCAGTGGTCGGAGGCGTCCTGCAACACACACGTGGAATTGATCTCCGCGCTCATGGCCCATCAGGCCTTGAATCCCTCCGAGGTCGGAAAATTGGTACCAGACTTGTATGGGAGGATATCAGCACTAGCTCGATATATCGGATACATCGGCAGGCCACCGCGAGTCATTATAAAAGCCAGATATGTATCTAATCACCTCCAAACGATGGTCGGTGAGCTAGAGTGCATGGCGTATCCTCCAGGAAATGATCAACACCGAGAGCTTTACAGCTTTAAGCCAATTTCTAGACTGAACTGATCATTGAACGCTGTACCAGCCGATAAAATTTATAAATATCAATCATCGAGTAGTCTCTCATTGGTGGGCAGATAAAAGGTTGATAAATAAACTTTATTCGGCCAACGTTTCGACGTTTCTGCCTTCCTCAGAGCCTGCTATCCGAATCGATGCCCAGATTCCTAGTCTCAATGTACTTATCAACTCCATGTTAGCTTATAATTGATAGAATAGGCTGCTTAACGAATACATGTTCATTTGTCATTCTAGGGTTAAAGAGGTTTCGATTTCTGAAATATCGAAGATCAATTAAAGCCCGTAAATGTATTGACGGACAATCACTGAGAGAAAAAAGGAAAATCCTCTAGTAAGCAAATCCAATACTGTTCTGTTATTTCTGGCATTCGGTGCAAGTGAAAAAAAATGGAATTATGTGGTAGAACTACGCTATGAGAAAAAAGCTGCATTAGCGACTAAAGTATTACTAATAATTACATGGACGGGCAGCAATTATGGATGCCGTCCTATACAGACGCATTTTCTGATTTGACCTGATTACGGCAACTGCCTGTGATGAATACCCGGGAAAGCTGTAGCAGAGCTGTATTAGGAATCTAAGAATAATCTACTCAACAATATCTTAAAAGAGAAAAACTCTTCAAGTTGCTGTCATCATCAGAATCTTCACGCAAATCTGTTGATCTTCGGAGAATGATGACGGATGACGGATGAGAAGCAGCAAATCTAATGAAAGAAGTGCCGAAATCCAGAGAATATGTGAATCCACAGTCAGTGGAATCGTTTAAACAAAGAAATAAATGTAAAATAATTGTATTATTGCTAATACTTTTACTCTTATTATTGGTAGCATGAAATATAAGCTTCTTACCTCTTGTTCTGACGACCAGTTCAGTCTCGGTGCTGCATCGGTGCTGGGAATTGTTTCATTCTCGTCGAAATATTCACTCGAATTCACCATGCAGACGACAGCCATACCCATGTTGCTATTCATCATATGTACACTAAATGAATACGATTGGTTTTAAATACAACATAATTCAGATCTAAGGCATGTTGCTTTTATAGAATCGGCTTTAGCTAATGTGTGCGGTACTCTGAGTGATTACAAAGACTCGGATTCGGAAAATGCGAATTACGCTGCCACAGGTTAACTAAGGATGGCCTACTGACATGTCGCTCCATGGTCTGCATTTCTTTTGAAGGCTAAAGTTGCATAATTACGATTTACTGGTCTCTGCTTATTGGTTCTCGATAATTTCACTGATCTGAAGATGATGGATTATATCTTTTCCAGCAGAAAGGCTATCTAATATTATAGTGCAATCTTATATTCACTTGAATGCTCGACTTATCGTATGAGTTTGGCTTTATCCAGGAAATACCTTCTCTCAGCCGAAGCATGAAATCCAACAACGGCTTAATTTCTTCCCATCTTTGAAAATGGCTTGCTTTTTCAGACTAAACTTCATCTAGAATTAGAGCAGAAATGTTCACGGAATGAAACAAAGATTTTAAGTGGTTATGATACTGATAATTCTGCCTGTAAATGTCTCTAACGCGGTTTCTATCTATCGCCCACGTCTTGCTAGACATCCATAAGGAATAAGATAGGTAATTGGAAACGGTTTTTTTTGCGAAGAAAATGAAGAATAATGTGACGAGTCTGCAGTCTTTTAGTGGTGATCTTTACTAACTTAGAAAAATGAAAAAGTGCCACTAACCTAGCAAAGCACAAACACAATAAACTGGCGGTTACTAATCTCCAACTTGGAAACCAACGGTAAGCGATGGGTTGAAGTGCTGGCGGCAGTCCGTTGCTCAGCGGATGAACTGCAGACATGCTGCGCAGCAGATGATCTGGAAACCGATTAAGATTTTCTTCTTAAACCTACAAATTCTCGGTATCAAACGGAATAATTTGGTATAAGGCTAAGTATTTGAAATTCCCAAGGATCTCCGTTGGCCTCTGCAGCATGTGGTTGACATTAAGGATTTTGAGACAATGTGAGTCTTCTTAGATGTTTGGATTCACCTGTTATCCTCCTCGCTCAAGTTTATTACTTGTTGCCACAACTATTTCTGCGAGTTCTTATGCAGATTTAGCAAAAATATTTATTCAGTGTATCTCTGGGTGACGCAGTTTTCAGGAGAAGCCCGATGATAAAAGGATAAAATATTCGACCTTGATCGAACCCTTAAGTATGCGTAGTGCATTCCACTCATGACCCTTGTAGAAGGTGTTTATTATACACTTAAAATTGACCTTATAAGCATATGAATGTAAAAGCTTTTTATCTCTCTGAATAAGTGTTATACTAAGTTGCTTACCCATAGGAATGCATGGAATGGTTGACCCGCGCCGTGGAATGAAACCGATGGTGACTTGTACATTGTACTTCAATTCTAACCGCTGCGATACCCAATTAACAAAGTTATGGTACGAAAGGAAAAAAAACTGTGCTTTAAACCAAGGCAATCAAAACAGTTACCAAAAGCTATTCGTGCACTTATATGAAGTTTTTCACTACATGATAGAAAAACTGGTTCTTGCACCTCTAGGTGAAATTTAGTACGTCAGTGCGTTCTTGACAAGCCAAGATGAAGTTGCAAATGTACTTATTAATGTACAATTTGTTCTAAATTCATGATTTTCTAATGAATTTTTTTCATACAAAACCTATATCTTCCTAAACGATAAAAGCAATAAAGCTGCAGATGTTGATCACTGCGAGGCACGCTCCGTGCCTTAGATTTCAAAGTACTGTTAGAGGCGATTGGAAGCATGTTTGGTAATAATCGCGGTGGCCTAATGATGTATCAGTTCAATACTGTGACGCTTCCAGACAACTCTGTTACTAATTTGTCTATCATCCAATTTTGAAAGGTTTGGTGAGCTCAGGACGTGAGATTGAACCAAATACTATATGTATTTTATCGAGCACCTATAACCTCTAAGCTGCACGCTCCTCTTAAATATTTTCCTAATCAGCAGAAATTCAAGCATATTTGCCTTTTTTCTAGTAGAAGTTGCTCGTGAAACAAAATGTCGAGACAGTTTTGGAATAGGAAAATACCCCGAAATGAATTGAAGAGCCCAGTATTTCGCAAATAGGGGATTGCTTTACGAGGTATTATGTGAAATACAACCACAATTCAATGTTTTTCATCAATAAGCAGACACGAGGTTGTTAATATAGAATTTATTAGAACACAATTGCTGACGTTTCGGCGGGCTCTGCCCTTTCCAGGCTCTGAAGAAGGCGAAACCGCCGAAACGTCAGCAATTGTGTTCTAATAAATTCTATATTAACAACCTCGTGTCTGCTTATTGATGAAAAACATTGAATTATCAATTAATGCCGAGGTTAACAGAAAGTCGGTCATGGGAATTACAACCACAATGATGCTGAGATATGGAATTCCAGATCAGCTTTGGACCTGCGATTAATCTTCCGAAGGCTTACTCGGCATCCACTGCACTATTCAGGTTCCTGCCTTACCTTTCTTGTAGACAATTATTTACTTTAATGTTTCTATCAGCAATCATTCATCAGAGGAAATGATGTCGCGAGCACAAGTCGGCACTGACTACAATTAAGCCGAAGCTGAACTCCAAATCATAATGTCTAACTTTTATATAGGTCGTGTCTTCTATTTCCTATATTATAGAGATGCTAAACTTATATCCTTTACCTTACATAATATCTGAATCTTTATCTTCACACATTTTACCCTTCATTTATTTCTTTTATTTTTCACTTTTTTACCTAGAAATAAAAGTTAGGCAGTAATTTTAGGTAAAGAATAGTATATTAGCATATTTTAAGGTGCGCGTGAAGCTCAGTGGTCGGAGGCCATCTGCAACACATAATGGGATCGATCCCCAGACCCCAGGCTCCAAACTCTCCATCCCCCTTAGTCGGCAAATTGGTGCCAGACTTGTCTGCAAGGATGGCAGCTTTGGCTTGACACACCGGTAGGCCGCCGCGAGTTACTGTAAATGCCTGATATGCATTCAGTCACCTCCAAACGAAGTCGAATGCATGTCGCATTCTCCGGGTATTGATCAATTGTGAGAACTTTATCCTTTCTATCGTTTTTATTAGTATACTTGTACTGCTTCAGCTTAACTGAGTTTAATGCCGCTTTGTGGTCTCCACTTTAACTTCTGTTGACGAGTGATTGCTGATAGCACGTGTAGATTAAAACGCGGCTGAGAGAAAAGCTCAGCGAAGGACCCGTATGTTGTGGTGGTGAACAGGTTGGCCCCGGAAAGGGTCGATCTGTGGTCGGGTATTTTGCAAATATCTCAATACCATTGTGGTCAAATTTCCATGAGAAGTACTACATGGTATTTTTAGCGTTTTTATAAGTCATATTTGACCCCGTTCCATGCCTTTGACTAATTCTCTAACTTTAATTTCAAAAAGGCAGAGACCGCCAAACGAAGACGTAGACTATCGCAGAACAAACGTGGTCTTTGTTGTTTTTACTTTATTATTTTAATCGCTTTACTCTCCGATTTATTTTACACTTAAATTTTTGTCATTATTTTATCGAAATTGTGTCAACCGTCAACCCCAAAATAATCAAACGATCAATGCGAGGTTAACTAGAAGGTTGATTTTAGGAAATATCAACCGATGCATCAGTTACTCTTCTGAGCTATAAAGAACATATTCTCGTCAAGTTAAAATAGTGTTTTCGCCCTTCAAACTCCAGCTTCTTTGCACGAGCGTGGAAAGATCAAGTTTTCCCGGATATCGTGTTCGCAAACGGCTGCACAAACTATGCCGGCTAACAGACTATCAGGACAACCGACATGTACGGCGATCTGAGTGGTCTACCAAAGGACATCAGACAGTATTAAAAAGGGAGATGCACCAATTAGTGTCTTTTTGTGATCCGAAAAAGAAGAGCTATTCGTTCATTTGCAGAAACACGACCACTATGATGCTGAGATATTTGCAAAACTCGAACCCCAGGACAAATCCGAACCTGCGATTACATTTTCTGGGTGCTCACGTGTTACCCACTATACCACTGAAGCCCTTGCTTTGCCTTTCTCTCAGCCGGTTTTCTTCCTAACGATGCCATCAGTAACCACCGTTAATGGAAATGATCTGGAAAGCACCTGATCTTTTGGTGAGCTGGTCCATGTCACGTCGTGTGCGTTCGCAATCGCATCGACTCGAGCCACTCGAAGGAGCATGGCTCGTTTGAAAAAGTTCACTTAACGGTACCTTTAATAGAAGACGGATGCTGGTCGATGACGTCGACCACCTGTGAGTTATCGACTTAGATCAATGTGGCTCCGAAGAGGACGAACGGGGAGAAAAGTTAGCCGAATAGAATTTTTGTACCAACCCCGTGTAAACTGAGTCATTTAGAAAATCATTGTGTTAACTTTTGTTTGCTGTACGTTGTTTTTCTTTTACACTTTTTCAGCTGATTGCTGATAGCGCAGGTAAAGTAAAAATCTGGTTTAGAGAAAGGCAAAGCAAGGGCCTCATTGGATTTGGCGAATAGAAGGTTACTTGGAAACTTCGATACTTGGATAGTCCGTCTTCACGAGTCGTGGGGACCCCAGCACATATGCCATTCGTTCCTTTCTCTCGCAAATGCAGTCCATGGTGGTAGTCTTGATCAAGCATGGTAGAGCTTGCGAGTTTCATACCGTGATCTGTAAAAAAAATACAGCTGCGGGTACAGCTGATTAACTTTGTTTACGAACACGTCCGCCCAACGTGTAGGTGGTCGTCTAAAGGGACGTTTGCATTCTCTTGGAGGCCACCCTACTGTTCCTTTCGTCCATCTGTCGTCTGTTCTTCTTATTACGTGAGCGGCCCTTCTATGGTCGATGTATATTTTCATGGATCTCAAATTTGTGACAGATTTCGAAGGACAGAGCTTCGCATTTCGGCTAGATATTGAGAGTGCCGGTTATATTTTAGAGAAATCGCTCAAGCGCTCTGTCAGTAGTACGAAGCATTCTTGACGTCGTAATTCCCATGACCGACTTTCTGTTAACCTCGGCATTAATTGATAATTCAATGTTTTTCATCAATAAGCAGACACG